TTTCATCACCTTAAACGAAATTGGGTGAATACATCTCATATTGTTAAGCTTACTTCCATTTTGAGTGGAAGTAAGCTCAACAATTATGAAACAAGAGATTCCTCGAAACCAAACTTTTCTTCGTATACATCTCATATTATTGATTTACTGGTAGCCACGAAAACAATATTTAATTCGAAAAATACAGTTTCTTAGTTTCCTGAAATGAAAATATTAGAATTAGTAAGAGGATACGGCACCAAGAAACGATAACGTAAATGTAGGCAGGAAAGAGACTTCACATCATTAGACTTTTCGTTTCGTATAAAAAATTAAACGTAAGGAATTATTACACTGTTACCTGTCGATGAATATATAATTGTGCAAACCTACGCGAATAAAAGTTGGGTTTCGAGAAATCTCTTGGTTCATAGTTATTGAGCTCACTTCAATTTCGAGTGAAAGTGTTTGGTGAAAAGTTCGATCCCACCAGAAGATGACGGCGGATTTCCTTTGATCAGTTGTTAATCGGCCTTATTGGGACATTCTTGCTGACGCCGTTTCGGAGGCTATCCCTTTCGAATTAGATGAAAACGTGCTAAGCTTTCGTCCATATTATGACGAACATCATCAGAGGAGGGTATCATCAATTCAGCCATATTTAAGCTAGCGAGTCAAAAAAATTCATTTTCTGGTAGGATCGAACTTAGAATCTCTTCAGCAAACACTTTCATTTAAAATGAAAATGAGTTCAACAATTTTTGTAATTAGCTCTTTAATAGTAACGTAGTCAATCTTCACAGATATGTAACTTATATGTGCTAGATTAAATTTGATTAAAGCAAATCTGATTACCATAAACTGCACGATAGTTAACTTTTGATTCTCGTGAAAACTTCGAATATTCGAATGTAATTCGCCTACAATTGTACAATATCTTTAAAATGCGAGATTATCACTGTTGCTTTATATGTAAGTTTAAAACGTTTACTGGGCCCCATAATTGCTACCAATATTGACTTATCGTTAATTGAGGGCTAAGTTCATGATTTGAAGTTATTTTAGAAGCATAATGAGTACAGCTGGTCAAGAGGAATCCGCTGTCGTCTTCTGGTGGAAGCTAGCATCGAATCTGTTCACCAAACACTTTTACTTTAAGTGGAAGTGAACTTAAAAATTGTGCAAATCTAGCTATAGATGCGTATTTGGAGATTGTGGAATATTTTTACCGTTAAACAATAATTTAAAGATATGAATACAAAGATGGTGTGCCCTCAGTGGGTTTGCAGTCTCCTTTAGATGTATAGAAGTGGTCTTGTTGTCAGGAAGACTTAGTTGGACGCAGCTTGTCCGAAATCCTCTCCCAAAGTAGTAATCATAATTCCCAGCGTCAGACCGTGGACTTCGTACATTCTCAAGAATGTTTATATTCATTAACAATAAGTTGCTCTCGAAGATATGAAGACTAAGATGGTGTGGCCTTTTGTGTGGTCGCAGTCTCCTTTCGTTGTATAGAAATTGTTTACCCTTGTTTTCTTACGCTGCCCCATCATGGTTCGAGTCTCGTTGGGGCTTCTGATAAGACCTAGGCGGTGTCAAAAACTCTATTCTCCCCTGGATGAGAATACCTCGTGGTAAAGCAGGGTTATGTGGAACTAATTGGAAAATTCATGTCTACCCATATCACTGTGGGAAAATTCAACTAACAGTGCCCTTATCCCCTTAAACAAAATGGAGTGAATACATCTCATATATATGATCTACTGACGGTCTCAAAAACCTGCTTATAAAACGAAAAATATGAAGACTTAACACAAATTCATCAGCTCGAGGCAAGGTGTACAGTGCTTCTCTTCGCATAAATCAAAAGTCCGAATTCTAAGGAAATTCGGTTAAGGTCAATTTACGAATCCCTTCGTGCAAACGAAAGGTTAAATGGCACGAGATCATTTAAGGTTTCTTCCAAACCCAGCCTTTCAGCCTATCTTCCAAGGAAGAGGGAAACATGAGCAGTGATTTGGAGAACTGTTGAGCTGGCTTCCATTTTGAGTGAAAGTTTTTGGTGAAGGTCGATCCCACTAGAAGATGACGGCGAATTCCTCTTGACCACCTGTTGATTGGCATTACTAGAACATCCTTGTTGATGTTATTTCCGAGGTAATATCCTCCGATTCCGATGAAAACCTGCTAAGCTTTCGAATCGGAGGAGATTATTTCGGAAACTGTTTCAACAGGAATGTTCCAGTGAAGCCAAGTCGTCGTCTAGTAGAATCGACCTTTGAATCTCTTCACCAAACACTTTCACTCGAAATGGAAGTAAGCTCAATAATTGCGAGACAAGAAATTCCTCGAAACCCAACTTTTCTTCGCATAAGGAGAATTGCTGTAGTCAGGGCGTTTTGGCAACCCACCGGATAGCCTTCGCTAGTGGTGCATCGCTCGCCGTCGGCACGGTACACATCGGCCGGACACCATTGACTTCGGCCATCACAGTACTCGGCCAAATCACAGCTTGAACTAGTCGGCCGGCAGAGTGAGCCGGCGCGTCGCAGTCGGCACTGCACATTGAGCGGAGTCTGGTTGATCCGGTGTCCAACCTCACTTAGTGGCATCGATAGACTTCGGCTAGTCGCGCCAGCATCATCAGCATACATACTGCCAAGGACAGTCAGCTCACAACAGGCGCCCCCGGCACATTCAGCGTCCCCCCGAAGCAGGCAAGTGTCAACATCACAGCAGGCGAAAAGCTCGGGCGGACAAGACGCTCTGACGGAAAGGAGGGTGATAAATTGAAATGACGAATTGATAACAGAGGGAAGGAAGGGAGCAGCGGAATAATAATAATAATAATAAAACAATTATATATACATATATGATCGACATATAGATCTATTATACTCTGC